GTAGCATGTGTGTGTGTGTGTGTGTGTGTGTGTGTGTGTGTGTGTGTGTATCTTAGTGTTCTTATAGTGGTTTGAAAGGTTAACTGCTCTTTCACTAACAAAACTCTCTCTCTCTCTTCCACTCTCCTTCTTTGTGTGTGTGTGTGTGTGTGTGTGTGTTTATGTGTAATGGAGGATAAAGCTGTGACAGCTAAGGGGCCTCTAAGTGATGCTCTCTGCACCTCTGCAGCTTTTGTGTAGGTGTGCGTGTGTTGCTGTAAAAATCATATAAAAGCCATCTTCTTTTTCTGTACCAAATATCTTTTCATTCTCTTATCCTGTTTTCCACTCTCTGAGGCACTTTTTTAGCATGGCCACTAACTTAGGGATTCAGTTTCCTTTTTAACAGAAGACTCAAACAATACAGCCAATGACATGAAGACAGTTTATGCTGAAACTGTCAAAAGACAAACTCTGCTAACAGACTGCTTGAAAAAATAGAGTCATAAAAAAGCAAAAAAAAATGTGCAATACAGCAGAAAAAAAAATCATCATAAGAAGAATCATACAATTTTCAGACACAGTAAAATTAACAGTTCACCTGTAAAACAACCACTCACTAGAATGGGTTTCAGGAGACTTGGGCAGCCTGAGGTCTACAAAAAAAAAAAAATCTTAAATCATATGAATTCCCAAATATGACAATATTCCTGAATCATGGTCAGTAACATCACAAAATCAGTTATGCAGCAATAAAAATGCCCCATGAGGTTTGCTTTTGTACATTTTAACACACGTGTAACATGTTTGTCAGTTATCAAAACCATTAGTTTTTAAATTCATGGGGAACATACGTATATACATATACATGAAGTATATTGCACTCATCCTGTTTGTTTCCAACAATTTAAATGTTAAATTAAAAAAAGTAAATCAATAAGCAGAATATAGAATTTAGCTGATATATGTAGCTGCCATAACTTTGCTTATAGCTTACTTTAACTGCACAGTATTAGTTAGTTTGTGAGAATTAAAAACAAATTATAATAAATAAACTCTATAAAAATAATCAGCATGGATTACTTCACATATGCAGGCATAACCACATATTATTATTACAAGAATTTATGTATAATGATGTCGTCCGAAAGTGTTTTCATAAAATCTGGTGTCACCAGGCTCTTCTCAATCTAGTCCAGCGAGCGAGGGAGGAATCAGTAAGCTGCTTTAATACTCACCTAAGGCACAAAGAGTACTGTACAAGGTATTTGCCTCAGTGTACTGAGGCAAACTTCTGTAAACACTGTAAAACATAAGAAAAAACCCAGCATGTTTTTTCATCAAACACATATTTTGACCTTTTGCTTTAGATAAAAAGACAAAGTTAGTGCTCCACCCAAGGTTATCATATCAGCTGAGAGTAGTATTGATTCATAAACCACTATTCTAATAAACTACTAATTTTAATGCACTGATCAGCTGACAGATGAGGTGTTTTTACAGACTGAAATGACTTGCTCCTCAAAGGGACATTGTGTGTGTGTGTGTGTGTGTGTGTGTGTGCTTGTGTTTCCCTTACAGACTTCCTCTTTAAATAGCAGGACCTACAGGTAAAGTCAGTGAGGCATATGGAGCAGCAGGTGGACTGTGTGTGCGTGCGTGCGTGCGTGTGTGCGTGCTTGCACAGTTTTTCACTAGGTCATAGAGGGGAGGGTATGTGTGTTTGTGTGTTTCCTGCAAACCAATGGACTCCAACCATTTTCACACCTGGCTGGAGTCACAGTTCTGGATCACTGCCTCAAACTCACACACACACACACTCACACACACACACAGGCACGTGCACACTCTCCTTCACGGTGAAGTTAAAAGGCTTGAATCTGTAGCCTCTGGTTGCTGAAAACTCACTTTCCGTCCTCATCCTCGCTCCATCCTGTTATTATCCTCAGTGGATGCTTTTTCTTCATCTTTCTTCATCTCTGTATTCATCTTTCAACATTTCTAAGATAAAAACAATTGTCTGCGAAATTTAGTAACTCCGTGTTTTCCATCACTGTAAAATGTACAGGTTGTTTTTAGGCGATAAGACCTCATGTAAGTTCAGAAATGTTACATCTGCCTTCGTAGTATTTAACATAGCAGAAAACTCAAATGCGCAGTACAGCCAAACATGGCTCAACCACAGTATCCAAATGCAATTTGCTTATCCGTCAACTTCAAATCCTTTTATATACTTTTCAACTTGTGGTGATGTCTTTATGCTTCAAGTGCTGCCTGCACTACATAAAATTTAACAAGACAGGAGCATCACCTTATATTCAAGCAGAGGAGGATTTAAGGGGGGCTGGTATTGGATGACTAGCATCAGCTGCTTTTTTTTAAGTAGCTCACAGGCGCTGGCTCATTAGCAGTTTGTTGATTAACAATTATACTCAAGCAGATGAACAGAATGGCCAGTATGAGCTAAGACGGTTTGCTCTCCTAAAATGCTCGTGTCACCAGCGTTTCCGGTTGCTTCCTCTGTAACCGGCCCAAACAGCTCTCCATGTAACATTTTGTTTCCGCCTTAACTCACACTACATTACAATAATGTTATTAAAACGACAATATTATTACATATTGTTTTATCTGATTCTTTATTTAATATTTCTGATTTTAGCAACGTGCTATGTATCCTCTCCTTGTAGTCAAATACGATCACAAACTAGTGCTAGTAGTTTTGCAGAACTGAGATCACAATATTATTGATTTATTACTAATTTAGCTTAAGCAACAGCAATTTTAAACTAGCAGGTTTTCAGCAACTTTTAATTTATTTTATATTTGAATGTATTTTACTGCTTTACTGCATTTGTCTGTATTTTTACTTCAGTAAACTTTACAATCTAAAGATACTTTGGAGAGTGAAAAAGCACGTGAACACTGCACATCAAACTTGAAGAGGTATTTTCCCAAGTTGCCAGTAATTTTTGCTTGGAAATATCTAAATATCTCACTGATTTCCGAGAGGCTGCAGTATCAGTGCTTGATTCCGAGTCTCCAGTCTGATACAAATCTGCTGAAGCCTTTTCGTCTGTATGGAGTTTGTTTCCTCCAGTTTTGTGAGGCTTTCGTAGAGATGCTCTGGTTTACTCTTACAATCCAAAGTCATGCAGGTTAGGTGAACTGGAAAGTAAATGCTGTTCTGTGATAGACTGGTGAGCTGTGGTGCTCCCTGACCCACTGCATGCTGGAATTGACTCTGCTGCTCTGGTGACCTTGAACCATGAAGTGATTTAGAAATGGATGGATGGTGATTCATCAGTGCAAGTTCTGTTTTTCCCCCTCTGTTAGCAGACTAGCCATTAACCATCTACCCATGCTGGGTGGAAATAAAGCAAATGAGCTCTAATAGTCTGTTAAATTTAAGACCACAACGTAGAAATCAGCTCATGACATTTTCATCATTCATAATGACAGATCCTTTGTTTTCCTTTCACTGTGTAATTAACAACACAAATTTGAACCAAAAAAAAAAGAAAACCGTCTCAACAAACTGTCTTTAATAATCTTACAGTGAGGACGCATTGTTCTTAGTTTCTCTACTATTTTCCCCCCAATTCATTCAAATCATTTTGCCTCCTGAAAACATACAAATTTCATTAATCCTAACTTGGTGTAATTAAGTTTTCATACTTTAGTTGATCATAATTACTATTGCAGTATTTACAAAACATTAGAAGAACACAACAATTATTTGAGGACTTGAGGGGAGAAAAGTGATTTACAGATTATTGTTGTTGCCTCAAAGGAAGATGATACTGGGTTAAAACATGCTTTCCAAGGTTTGTTTGGTTGTCAGTCTGTCTTTGTTAGACCTGTGGTTGACAGACAACCTCTTCAGGGTATAGCCTGCTTTTATCCCAGTCAGCTGAAATCAGGCGCTCCACGTCTTTAACTGGATGTCTGATTCAGAAAGTTCGCTGACAGTTTCTTTCTTTTTTTCATTTTCTTTCATTTTATTTGGCCTACAAAGCAGCTACATATATTTTTAATTGCTTCTACAACCATGTAATTATTGTAGAGCATGTACTTTGGATGTACTGTTATATTCCTTTTTGCCATAAGAGAATGAGCGAAGTAACAAACACAACTGAGGGGTTACTTTCTTGTTTTTTTCCCCTCCCCTTCTGTACCGTAAGCGGGAACTGACCTAACAGCTGGCACTGTTATTGTTGTAAAATAGCTCAACAGCTACCTCTAGTGGAAGTTACAAGATAACACAGGAACTGTCTTAGATCTAAGTTAAAGACACCGTACAGATAGGGTTACTGTTTTGTGATCTAGCTACAATACTTTTTAATGATCGATTAATATAATTTTATTTGGTAGTTAACAGAGTGTTTGTTCTTTTTTATATATATATATATATTCCAGATATCAACATGGCGGGAGAGCCAAAGCCCAGACCCAAAGGCCTGAAACGATCAGCAGCTTCTCTCTACAGGTACACACTGCTATTTATCAGACTTATTGATTATTTGATTAATGTGTCACTCAAATTCCTAAGCAGCTCTTTGAGTGTTTCGGGAACTTGCTAAAAAGCTTCTTTTTAAGGCCAAGGGATTGATTAGGAAGCCTGGCAGAGAGTAATGTGACCACAAACGGTATTACTACATAAACAAATGCACACACACACACACACAAGGAAAGTTGTAGTATAGCATCAAAACCACCTACAATGCATAACAACAATTTTCCTTGTGGGATCAATAAAGTTTCTATCTATCAATTTGTAATAAACCCACAGCAGACCTCATGCTTTTCAGCACTTTATTCGCAGTTGCTTGTTTACAAACTGGCTGCAGCTGTTCAGCTCACAGCCACATACTCCAACATCAACAACACTCAGGACCCAGCACAGCCTTTTAATACAGGTGCGGCGTGATAACTAATGGCGCTCAGGTGTGTCCGCCTCGCCGCAGAAGATCCACCGACCACGCCCTGCCGCACTATCTATCTATAAAGAAGTAATGAGGACTAAGAAATCCTTATTAAAGTCTGTTCTGAATGATTTTATTTTATAGTCTTTTCTTTATATTTACATTGGTGCAGAGTCATGATCTACGTCACTCTACCATTTAAACCTGTCATTGTCTGAATACTAGTGTAGGCTCATAGCTACCAACTGTGATACTGTGACGCTGGTCATTTTTAGTGATAAAAGAAACAGGTTTATTTTTTGACCTGCTGCACTTCACTCTGCTTCTCAGGACATGCTAACAGACTGTGGATGCTAACAGTAATTTTAAAATATGTGTCATAAATGCACTGATTCTTGGCCTCTAGCAGTCTGTTTGAAGATCTATTGTCTCTTGTTTTATCTCTGGTTTGAGTACCTTTTGTCTGGTTTTCTGGTTTCTTTCCCACACAGATTGTAACTATTTTATACACTCTTATTTTTCATTTGTATTTTTAACTATAAACTGCATTGAAAAGCCAAAACCTTTTTTTGTCAAATGGTGCTTTATATGCGGTTTCATGCTCGTGTAATGAAAACTACTCTATGACTCTATGTTGTGCTGTGCTTTTTCTACCCAGCGGCTATGAGTTTGATTATGACTACTACAGAGAAGACTTCTATGACAGGTAACACATGGACTGTTTTCAGCTGTCAGCAACAGGTTAATCATGATAACCCATTTAGGTAACACATGGACAGTGTTGGGAAGGTTACTTTTAAAATGTATTCCATTACAGAATACATGCCCCAAAATGTATACTGTAACGTATTCCGTTACGTTACTCAATGAGAGTAACGTATTCTGAATACTTTGAATTACTTAATATATTATCATGCTGTTTACAACTACATGAATGTACTATTGCTGTGATTTATTACTGTTACTGAAGGTCTGCGGCTCCGAACCGTAGTAAAGGGACCTCTGGCTAATACGTCGGGTCCTGTGTCGGGCTCGTAGCTGAAAACTAGCTTTACTTTGTTGTCTGGGTCAACTTTGCTAGCGAGAGACAGAGAGAGGCGTTGAAAGCAGTGTTGCCAACTTAGCGACTTTGTCGCTATATTTAGCGAGTTTTCAGACCCCCTAGCGACTTTTTTTCTAAAAAAAAGTCGCTAAAAAAAGACGTGAAAGTGCGTATCGCTTTTACTCTCAACAAGCAGCGGGTGCTGTAACGCAGTCAGTTCTTCTTTTACTCTTATGCTGTTTTGTGGATCACAAGGTTTAAAACTACTTATACACACACACACAAAGTAACTCCACCAGAGTGCCTATTTCGGGTCACTTTTGGCGGTCCAAGCCCGGGTAAAGGAGCAGGGTTGGAATTGTGCATTAAAAAAAACAATAATTGCTAAAAGAAATTTAATTTGTAGTTCTAAATAAACTCTAAATGCATTTAGGATGTTTTTTATTTTGTATTTTAAATACGTAACGGCGGTACATGTATTCCGTTACTCCCCAACACTGCACATGGACATCTCTATCCAGCAGTAACAGAGAAAGTATGGTTTTTAGGCCCTTTATTGGTTTCCAGTTGCGGAATGTAAAACTGAGGAAAAAATGTTTTGACCAATATATATATATATATAGAATAAAAGAAATTTGTAAAGGTGAAAATATTGGGTTGGATATTTTGATCTATAAAAAATGCCACAAATTTGAAAAAGTTACAGTATATCACTTATTTCATTATTTTACAGTTCCCAGTTTCTTCCCAAAGACCACGACCACCCTTTACTTATCCGATAACACAGTCCCACCCCCATCTATAAACCACCACTTTGCAATACCAAATTCTATGTGTAATAACCCAAATTGTATATACATAACACTATTATTTACATATTTACTTTTTAACAGCAGATTGTATATGTGCACATTTTATATTTTTTTCTGTTAATACTGTTGATATGTATATACTGCTGCAGAATTGTGCTTCAATAAATTATTTCTAAAAATTTGATTTCACGTATGTAAGCCTAACAATTTAAGGACTATAAGGTGTGATCTAAAGTTTTTGACTTTAATGTAACTGATTTAAATCAGCTTTCCCATTAAGATTATCCAGTTATACACTACTTTCAACTACTTTTAGCTATTGTTGTTTTTAGATCATTCCCTTCATGACCGCTTGCTCTTCCATGTCTGCAATTTCACTCTGGACAAACATCAACTTCTGTTTCAAATTAACACAAATTACATGTGGAGGATCTTTCTGATGATGATAGCTCGGTCTCTGGCTTTGACCCAGACGTTTTCAGCAGATTTTATTATTGGAGGCCTCCAGGCTGAGACTGTCAAAGCAGACTTCTAATACTCAGCAGAAATGACCTGAACTTGGCTTTGTGCCACCATGTGTCATCACATCGAAAATTCAGGACTTTTTTCACCATACCGTTTGCTCATCATCTGTCTTACATACCAGTTTTTGCATCCCAGAGAGTTCTCCTCGTCCCTAAAATAAAAAGTCAAAGCTAAAGTCTTGATGTTGGAATTTCATATAAAAGAACCAGAACATCTCCTAATGACGAGCCACTACTGAAAATGCAAAAATGCACGCCTTACTTCACATCACAGAGTCCAAATGCTGTGATAAAGGTTAAACGAGGTCTTTTCTCACTGTTTCATGTGCTGGGTAGGATCTCTTAACAGTGGGGACTTTTATACTTACTGATGAACTGCAGCTTTTTTGAAGAGACTGATTTATATTACGGTGCCCACTGTGGAGGCTGTCACAAATCCTTACAGCAGCAAGATTCTATGAGCTGATATTTATGACAGCAAAACTTGACAGTTGATCAGATTTAATGCTAACACAGCAGGAAGGCTAACAGTATTTTTCATCATAGTGATAAGATCTAGAAGATTTCAGACAGAATCTTTCAACACAATATTTTCCTCCTTAAGGGCATTTTTTTTATTTATTTATTTTTATTTTTTGTACCTTTCTCTCAATAAGTCTTATCAGAGAAACATCTGGTTGAATTTAGACAATTTAAATTGACCTCTGCAGTCATGTCACAGTGTGGTAACTATTACTGCTCCGACAAGACCAGGTGAAAGTCATCATCAAAGGCATTGCAGTTGTGGTTAAAAGAAAAATAACTTCATCTGTACTCCAGGAATTCCTCAGACTCTAAGCTAATTGTTGTTCCAGTCATGTATGTCTGAAATGATTTTCATTAGTGTTAAGGCCTTCAAAATAAAATGTTTACATATTTTTTGCTTTTGTTTGGTTTTGCTGCTTTTTTCTTGTTGAAAAGAATAAATAAACTTTTATGAAAAAAAAGAAAATTTGGAATAGGCAGGATAAGTCACAATCCTAAAAAAACTGGAACCTTTTTTCATTTTATTGAAGAGTTTGAGCAATCACTTTCAGTCCACCCTGGAAAAAAGTGAATATAAGTGATAACAACCTCTTTAAATGTTATTTGGAGGCAGGTATTCCATTTAAGGAAATAAAATTTAAAGTGTGGGTTGTAGAGATGGCCGTTGATGTGTCTGCTGTATTTGATCTGGTGTGAACCGTCCCCAATCTCAATTTCCAAAGGACATTAGAGGAAGAATTGTTCTTGACATGCAAGAAATTTAATACTGTTGTTATTCTCATCAAAAGCACAATAAATAATCCTAAAAGACATGAGAAACAGCTAAAAAAAAAAAAAGCAGAAACCTCTACAATTTGCAAAAAAAAAACAACTTTCTTGTTTTTGTGTTTTTTAAGCTTTAAAATGAAGGATACCACAAGTGAAAGATATATCAGTTTTTGTTGTTTTTTTTTTGTCCCATTTGGTTCTTTAGCCGTCAGAATTGTTGTCTGAAGACCAACAAGGATACCCAATGGATTTATTTTGCCAAATGGATCATCATGGCATTGCCGTATTGGTCCATTTGATCAACCTTTGTTTTTATTATTTATTTTATTTTATTTTCAGTTGTTACAGACGGGACAGACATGAGTGAGGGATAGGAAAGGGAGAAAGAAAGAGGAAGGAAAAGAAAAACAGAAGGGGAGAGGGACAGTGAGAAAGGGGGAAAAAAATCTCCTGGATCACCTGTTGAGAGAGAAAGAATAGAAAACAAGCAAAAAAAACCCAAAGCAACATACTAAACACAACACCATCGCATTAATCTAGCTAAGTGTAAACAGCAGTAAATACTAAATATTGAATGTTGTTGTGCAGCACGCAGGACCGACAGCGCACAATGTGCTTTGAAGTAGCAGCCAAGAAAGGTGTGATTTAAGTCTACGAACAGTGAACACCCATGTGTACACCTGTGTGGATCAGCGCGCTTGTATTCATATGGTTTCCCCATGTAATGGTCTGCAAGAGGATGTAGAGAGCCATAGCCCTGTCCCCCAGGGCATGAAGCAGGCATGGAGGAGATCCAGGCCCCAAACATTCAGAGGCCCCAGAGTGCGAGAGCCCAAGGAGGACCACCGGAGGGGCACCCGTGCCACCCTCATGGGAAGGGCTGAGGATCCCCAGACGAGGGGTCACCCAGTAGCCACCGAGCAGAAGCTAGAGGGGGCTGTGGGTGAGTGTGGTGAGGGGAGATAGGCCTCCACACTTTGGAGGGCCTGGGAGTTCCCAGAGGGGTGGAGTCTAAGACCCGACCTGACATATAGACACAGACAAACAGGCACACACAGACACAGACATGCATTCCCACCCTCATGCACACATATACAAACACTCAACACTCACCCAACGTAAGGATTGACATAAATGGACATGTACACACAATCACACTCCCCAAACATACTCTATACCCCGGGTCCAGGTACCCTCGCCCCCAGAGGGGGAAACGGCACCCAGACCCAAGAGATGATTACCCTTCCCTCCAGGGTGGAGGCAAGCAGACCGTCCCAGGCTCCGCAGCAGCAGGGAGGCCAATCGGACAGCCAACATCTCCTCCCAGCCCCCCCGCCTCGATGGCTAGTAGAGAACGGGGGTGTGTGAAGACCCCATACCTCCCTCCTTCCGCTCATGTGTAGTGTTGCTGCGTGTTGCTCTAAAGTGCATTTAAAACAAGGGAGAGCATGGTGCTGCTGCCAGAGAGCAGCAGGTGTTAGCACGGCGCCTCCCGAGAACCCTCAATGTCTACATGGATTTAAAATTGAGAGGTGGGCACCGGCACCAGAGGTAGGTTTGAATACACAGACCATCCACTGGACGCCGTTAACGTGCCCACCCTCAAGGCCCTATATATATGTGTGTGTTATGAGAGTGTAAGTAATGTGGATGTCTAAGTTGTGAGATAAAATTGAGGCACAGGTGGCCAGAAGGGGATGGGGGGGGGATGTCTCCCCTGCACCCTGGTGACACACCTGCACCCCAAGGCCCTACCTGTGTGGGTGGGTGTGGTGGAGCGGGAAGAGGGAGGTAGCCGGGGATGGGGAGGAAAAGAAGGGAGGGGAGGATGCCCCTCCCTAGGGCCAGCTCCCCCGCTGACCCCAGTAGGCACTCCCGTCCTCTGGTACCCACTAAGGCAAGGGAGCCCAGGCCCATCCAGACCGGGGCCTACGGCAGCAGCACCGCCAAGCCCCACAGGACCCGGGGCAGCCCACCCTACCCCACCGCAGAGGGAACTGTACCCACCCCAACATTCAATCATCTCCCAGACTAC